GGGTCCCAGTTACATCCAACAATAAAATGTCTAAGAAAAACAGTAATAACATCTAAGATATGAACTAAGAAAAACATCAACTAAATATACACTAAGCACTCATAACATAAAACATTGAACATCAGCACAAACATGAACATGAGTCTGTGAGCAGATGTGCACGCATGAACACATCAACATTGAAACAGATCAGCAGCAACATGAAACAGATCAGCAGCAACATGATATGGTTTTTCACAGTGATTATTCTAGTTAGAGATTCATGAGTCTAACAGCCTCAGGGTAGAAGCTGTTCCTCAGTCTAGTGGTTCTACACTTAATGCTCCTTAACCTCCTTCCTGAGGGGAGTGGGGCAAAAAGTGTGTGTGCTGGGTGGGTGGGGTCCTTCATGATGCAGGTGGCCCTCTTCCTGCATCTGGAGGTGTAGATGTCTGTGATGGTGGGGAGACTGATTCCAACAGATTTCTGTGCAGCCTTCACCACTCTCTGCAAAGCTTTTCTTTCTGCAGCTGTGCAGCCTCCATGCCACACATTGATGCTCGAGCACAGGATGCTCTCCACTGCACACCTGTAGAAGGAGGTGAGGACTGAGCTTCCCAGACCAGCTCGCCTCAGCCGTCTGAGGAAGTAGAGTCTCTGATGAGCTTTCTTGATCAGGCTGGTGGTGTTGTTGCTCCAGCTGAGGTTGTCATTCATGTGTACACCCAAGTACTTGTAGCTGGAGACCACTTCCACCGCAGATCCTCTTATGTTCAGGGGGGTGTAGGTGTTTTTGTTCCTTCTGAAGTCCACAATCATCTCCTTTGTCTTCTTCACATTGATGTGAAGGTTATTCTCTCTGCACCAGCTCTCCAGGTGTTCCACCTCTTGCCTATAGCTGGACTCATCATTGTTTGTGATGCATCCCACCACCGCTGTATCATCTGCAAACTTTACAATGTGACAGCCTGGATGGGTAGCTGCACAATCATATGTGAGCAGAGTAAACAGGAGGGGGCTCAACACACATCCCTGAGGAGAGCCAGTGCTGAGGGTTATGGTGGAGGAGGAGAGGTTGTGGATCCTCACTAACTGTGGTCTGTTTGTTAAAAAGTCTAGTACCCAGTTGCAGATGGAGGGGCTTAGTCCTAGTGTGGATAGTTTGTCCATCAGGGTTTGGGGGATCATGGTGTTGAAGGCGGATGTGAAGTCCACAAAGAGCATACGGACGTAAGAGTTTTTCTGCTCCAGGTGGTTGAGTGCAGTGTGGACCACAGAGGAGATTGCATCCTCTGTTGATCGGTTCTCACGGTGCGTACTGATGAGGGTCCTCGTTGATGTTGATGGTTGTTTTGATGTGAGTCATTGGAGTAAAAAATATCCTATCAAACTCTTTGTTCTTGGCTGAGAAGAAAGACCCTGATAATGAAAAAACACCCCGCACATACAAGCACATGGTGACGTAGACATTCGGGGGTGGGGGGGGGGGGACAAGGGCGGTGAGGATGTCCAAGGACGCTCTCGGGGGCGCTGTAAGAGTTCTGATCAGGATGGAATAATCAGCCAGTTTCCTCCGGTGAGATCCGGAAACATTCTCGAGGGACGTCCAAGGACAACGCCACAGTTTCACAGACAGGACAGAGCAGCAAAGCAAAGTGAAGGAGGGGGAAAGCGTCCGCCCTCTGCAAGAGCAAGTGGTGGAATTCATTTATAAATATATTTTGTACAAAATATATTTTGTACTGGGTTTTATGAAAAAACATTTATTTTAATGTACTTTTAAAACTATGGAGGATTTAGAAACATTTAGAAACAGAATAACTCGGCAATGAACAATTCCTGATTTTGTCTTGTTTTGCCAGAACGGGTCACAGACTGCCTTGGTTCAGGGACTGACGGTGGTCATGTTTGGTTCTCCTCAGGCTGCTGTTTGACGCAGACGCCGGTCACATGACCTTCACAGAGGAGGTGTTTGAAAACCAGATGAGGTTGCTGGGCGGACAGTGGATCGGCATGCCCGAGGGCTACACCGATGTGGTACGTACCTGGGAACGTTCCCGCTCCCGTTCAGTCTGCGGATCTAAAAGCTGTTTGTCGTTTCAGAACGGAGAGAAAGCGGTGCCGAAAGACGAGGTGGAGTGTCCTCCGGGCTGGGCGTGGGAGGAGGTGGAGTGGAGCGAAGACTTCAACAGAGCTGTCGACGATCAAGGTGAGATCGAACAGAACGACTCCCGTCAACAACCGGAGCTGAAAACTGACAAGTCCTGCGGTTCGTTCAGGTTGGGAGTACGGCATCACCATCCCTCCAGACCGCCGGCCCAAGGCCTGGGTTCCTGCGGAGAAGATGTACCACACCAACCGGAGGAGACGGTGGATTCGGATGAGACGACGGGACCAGCAGAAGATGGAAGCTCTCAGGAAGGTAACGATCGTCCAAACTGCTTCTCCTGCTTTCAGTCATGAACCTTTCAAAGATCCACCTCTGGGTTCTGTTCACGAGTGAGGGGAGGATGAAGCGTGAGATCGACGGATGGATCGGTGCAGCTTCAGCAGTATTGTGGACTCTGTGCCGGTCTGTTGTGGTGAAGAGGGAGCTGAGCTGCAAGAAGCTCTCTGTTTACCGGTCGGTCTATGTTCCTACCCTCACCTTTGGTCTCAAACTGTGCGTAGTGACCGAAAGAACGAGATCGTGGATGCAGGAGGTTGAAATGAGTTTTCTCCTCAGGGTGGCTCTCCTTTAGAGATAGGGCGAGACTCAGAGTAGAACCACTGCCCCTCCACATCCAGCGGAGCCAGTTGAGCTGCACCCTGGAAGACCTCTCTAGGGAGGTTTTCCAAGAACTGTCCCCGGGGAAGCGTTGCAGAGACTACGTCTCTCGGTTGGCATGGAAACAACTCGAGGTCCTCCCAGTAGAGCCGGAAGAGGTGAACGTGGAGATGTCTGGACCTCCCTGCTCAAGCTGCTGCCCCAGAGGCCTGACTCCAGAACCAGTGGCAGGCGATGGATGGACTGGGTGTAGACGTCTACAAAACTTTCACTTTTAGACCAAATCCAGAACAATTCAGATCTTTTTTAACTTAAAATGCTCTCAGTGTTGCTGAAAGTTGATCTTTCCAGAGAAAACCACACGAGCAGGCGAGTTTAAAAATACACAAACTTTATTTTGTCACTGGTGACCCAGAACACCAGGAGAACCCATCAGTGTCCGGGTCCTCTTCACTCAAAGTCTCGAGGTTTACTGGAGTAAAATGAAACGACAGAGACAGAGTTTATCTCTCTGTTTCTTTGATTTAATACATCTGGTACAAATAAATGCTGTTTTTCTTTCTGTACACGTTAGACAGGAAAGAAAAAGGCACAAAAATCCAGTTTGATGTTTTTCTTCTCCTGCTGCAGTTCCCTCTTCTGGACACCAGATGGTGCTCAAGTTGCACAAATGAAAACATGAAGAACGACCAAAAAAAACACTAAATATATTTTATTTTTCCTTTTTTTTTTTAACAAAAAAAATCTGAATAAAGTTGTGATTTTTGCGTCATCGGTGACAAGCAGACCTAGCTTTGAATGTTTTTTGTAAAGTACATGTTTTTGTTTTTGCAGCAGCGCCCGAACGAGGCGGACCGGGAGGGCTGGGAGTACGCCTCGCTGTTCGGCTGGAACTTCCACCTGAAGCCCCGGAAGACCGACAGCTTCAGGAGGCGCAGGTGGAGGTGCCGCATGGAGCCGCTGGAGAAGACCGGACCGGCGGCCATCTTTGCTCTGGAGTGCTCTCTGGTGAGGCCTCCGTCTTCAAACTGAGACCTCGCGGGTCGTTTTGACCCAAGGAAAGCAGGAGGGTCGTGAAGGCAAACATGCAGTTTGTCAAAGTTTTACTTTTCAAAAACGACTGTGTCTGGAGGTTTCACGAATATTTTAACACCAGCTCAGAGTCGCTCTAATTGTACGTACAGATATTAAGTTTTCATCGTCTCCTTTTCTTCTTTTCCTCCTGCAGAGCAGCGTAGAGGACAAACACGACGACAAGTCGGTCACGACCACTTTTGGTGTCAACAGACCAACAATTTCCTGTTTCTTTGACCGTACGGAAACTCACGTGTCACTTATTTATCCCTCCTGCTGCCCGAGGGTCAAAATGACCCACAGGTTTTAGGCCTCGTGGCTCATTTTGCTCCAAGGGCAGCAGGAAGGTTATTTCTCCTCCTCTTCCTCTCTTCTCTTCGCCTCCTTCACCTGTTCAGCGTGCTTTGTGTGTTTCGTGTGTGCAGAGGCCACCCGGTACCACCTGCGCTGCTACATGTATCAAGCCCGAGACCTGCTGGCCATGGACAAAGACAGCTTCTCAGGTACTGAGCAGTAAAGTCCGGTCTGGAGGGTCTCGTCTGGCATCGATCGGACCGGAGGGTCTGGTGCGATCTGCTGGTCTAAAAGTGACATCAGAGCCATTCAGGAGTTTGGAGGTTAAACTCAAACAAATCATCATTTTATGAACGTTTATGAAACGTCCTCTCTACGTGAGACGATTTCCTTCTGGACGTTTTTCAGCATCTTCCTCGTCCCGAAGTTTTCATCAGTTTCGACAAATCATGAATGAAAAAGTTCGGCTCTTTCAGGACGATCCCGCTGTGACTTTTAATGTTGGTGCATCTTTAGCTGTTTGAAATATTTAGCCTTTTCTGACATTTTTCTCTCGAAGAAAATGAGTTGAGCTCATTTTACCTTCTTCAAATCTTAAAATCTGTTCACAACCTTTTACTGCTCCTTTCACTTTTTGTGCTGATTCAGCTTCTTTCAGCTTCTTCTGAAAATTTAAACTTTTTCAGCTGTTTTAGGCTCCTTTCAGATTATTTCTGCTAACTACAACATTTTTGTGCTTCTTCTAACTTCTTTCTGCTAATTTCAGCTTGTTGTGCTGTTTCAGCTACTATTTAGCTGTTTTTATGCAAATTTGAGCTTTTTTGGCTGATTCCACATTTTTTATACTCATTTCAACATTTTTCAGCCAAATTGAACAAAAATGTCTCTCCACTTACTTTTGATAACTTAAGCTTCTTACTGCTGTTTTAGCTACTTTTCATCAGTTTTTTTTGTGCTAATTTCAGCTTTTTCCAGATTATTATCATTTTTGTGCTCTCTTCTGCTTCTTTCAGCAAACATGTTCTTTCTGCTTTCTTCTGCTAATTGAAGCTTGTTCTACCTTTTCAGCATCTTTTAAGCATGTTTAGCTACTTTCAGCTGTTTTCAGATAAATTCAAGTTTTTATGTTAATTTCTGCTACGCTCAGCCTAATTAACTTCTTTTAGCTAATTTCAGCTTGTCGGGGACTGCAGATGCGAATTATCTTTTGCTGTAATCTGGTACGGCGCTTCAAATGGTGACATTTATGTTTGAGTTGTACATCGTCCCTTTTTTTAAAAATAAAGCTCATTCATTCATTCATTATGCTCCTTTCAGCTTTTTTCTATTTTCATCTTTTTCTGCTCTTTCAGCTAAAATTTAGCTCTTTTGATGCTAATTGTGGCTTTTTAATCTAATTCCACATTTCTTGAGCTCATGACAGTTCTTTCCAGTCCATTCTGGTAGTTTAAGCTTCTTTTTGCCTTTTCAGCTACTTTTCAGCCTTTTTTTTTTTTTGGGGTGCTAATTTCAGCTTTTATTTTAGCTAATTTCCTGTTTGTGCTAATTTCTGCTTATGTAAGCCTAATTCAGCAAATATTGGTGCTTTCTTCCGCAGATTTAGGCTTGTTCATCCATTTCAGCTACATTTCAGCATGTTTTTAGCTAATCTTCATCTTTTTGCTCGTCTTAAATATCATCAGCTGAGGCTGAGGCAGCGGGCGACAAGCATTCCTTCACGGACCGCCGGCCTTTTCAGGCCTTTCTCTCCCTTTCATCACCTCCCTCTGTCTGAACCTTTTTTTTCCAGTTTTCTTTGTGTTTATTTACGTTTGTCGCTCCCCCAGGAGCTCCGGCTGCTGCTCCCCCCCCACGCCCACCAACACTCAGCTTTAGCTAACCCGCCCCCCCGGGCTGTTTGTGGTACTGTTTATACGAGCTAATGGGCCTTTGGGAGCGGGCGCTAATTGATCGGGTCACCGTACGCAGTGTGTGTGTGTGAGCCGTGAAGTTAATGGAGGGCTGGTGGGAAACTGCATCTTAGCTTCTGTTTACTCTGATGCTAACGGCTAACGGCTCCGCAGGGACCCGTTACTCAGCCTAAAACAACAAAGTACTCAGTCTGTGTAACTGTACGTACATGTGGGCTCATTACACACACACACACACACTGGAAACCGTGTGTGTTAAACGTTTAGGAGAGGGGCTCTGAGCTGCAGGCCTCTCGGAGCGGCGTTCCCAAGCCGCCGACGCCAGGACAGTTCAAACACATCAAAAAGCGTTTATTGCTACACTTGTGAGGACTCTCACGTCGTTGTTTTTAAACGTCACCTCATCCTGGATGGTACGTTTCAGGACGTGAAGCTAAACACTTTAACCTGCGCGCGTCAGACTGACCCGACAGTCCTTTTAGTCTGTTAGTAAAATTCAAACTTGTTTGTTAAATCATTTTTCGTCTGCAGTTTTTCTCTGTTAGTTCTTTTGATACAGTCGTGAAACATCAGCGCTCAGTAATGAAGAGCGTTCTGTGAATTGCTCATGGTGGTACGCTGGTAGACTGATGTTTGTTTCGGTCAAATGAGTCAGAATGAGCTCAAGCTGTAGTATTAAAAAAAATGATTTTATTTTTTATTTTTTTGGTTCAGTTTTTCATAAAAACGAGTCCACGATGACACCGTCTAGTCCCTGTAACTGAAAGATCTTATAATCTCAATAATCTGTGTGTAAATTTAAGTTTTCTAACGGGGACGTCTTCAAAAATAATCCTTTTAGGTTTTTTTTGTAATTGGAACGTTTTTCTCTAACGGCTGTAGTGCTGGGAAATCCTTTCGTATAATGTTTGCCGTCAACCTGAAGCTTTGGAATTCAATTATTTGAGTCCCTCCTGCTGCTCTTGGGTCAAAATGAACCCAAACTAAGACCTTTGAGGTTGGTTTGACCCAAGGGCAGCAGGAGGGTTAAACTGATTTTATTTTTTCTACAGTAAAGCAAGAGGTAGAGTTCTGATGTCCCACTTTCATGGTACACTGAACGCAGCGCAATTCTGAGACTCCTTTTGGGTCTAAGTCGTGTTTGTCAGGGGTCATTCAAGATACCAAACTTAAGGTTTAAGTTTTTACTGAAAACCGGACGTGTCTGTCCATACAGACCCCTACGCCATCGTGTCCTTCCTCCATCAGTCCCAGAGGACGGTGACCGTCCGCAACACCCTCAATCCCACCTGGGACCAGACGCTCATCTTCTACGAGGTGGAGATCTTCGGGGACCCCGAGGCGACGATGGCCAACCCACCCAACATCGTGGTGGAGCTTTATGACGAGGATACTTACGTGAGTATAGACAAAACTGTTCTTTCTATACGCCCATTGAAGGGATGTGTTTTGGTATAGTCTACGTATGTCCGTAAACTTTCTCTTGTCCCACACATAACTTCTGATCCACTCAAGATGATAACAAAAGCCAAACATCATCACTAAATGGAGTGTCTCGTGAACTTTTTATCACCCCACGATCAAGGTCAAGCATTACACAATGTCTTTGCCGTTGCTATAGATTGCTGTATAATAGTTTAATGAAGGGTGCATAATGTGCCGTATGCGGTACTCTTCTTTAGTTTTGGTTCTCCTTTGTCACTTTGTTGTCTGGTTCTGTCTGTGTTGTTTTCTGAACCTCCAGGGAGCGGATGAGTTCATGGGTCGCTGCGTGTGCCAGCCGTCCCTGAGTCCCTCGCCTCGACTCGCCTGGTTCCCAATCCACAGAGGAGACAAGAGCGCCGGCGATCTGTTGGCGGCCTTCGAGCTCATACGCAGAGAAAAGGTCACATGTCATCTAGTCTGTACCAGTCTGTTTAGTCATGTTGTTGTTCTTTGTCTCTTGGGTTTACAATCGTTTTGGGTGAACTAGGACTACGTGTTTGGACCTCCTGTGTAATCTCATTTTTTCGGTCACTACCCAAATTTCATGACCATATATGGGGGTAGGAACATAGATCGACAGGTATTCTGGAACTGCGCCGCTTGCGGTGGTGACATGTTGCAGTATCTCTGTTACATTCGTTCAGATATTTTACTTTTGGAAACTTTTAATTCCTCTTTTTCTGGATGTAATTCACCTTTTTTGAATGATTGTTTCTGATGCTGGGCAACTATTTGTTATGATGCGTAACCATGACAACAAGGTTTTTTTTTTTTTTTTACAACCGGGAACAGCTGATTAACATCCTAAAGTCTCAAATAATATTGCAACTACAGCGCCAAATCTCAAATGAGTTGAAAAGGAGGCTCCGTGGATGCATTCCCGTCTCCTTGCCGGCTGTGCTCGAGTGCCTGACCACTGAGATCCTGGCACTGGCAGGAAACACGGCTCGTGACAGCAGAAAGACAGGATCGTCTCCCGACACCTGCAACCGGCTGTCCGCAGCGACGAGGAGCTCGGCAGGTTGCTGGGAGGAGTGGCCATCGCTCAGGGAGGAGTTCTGCCTAATATTCGGCGGTCCTGTTGCCTGGAGGAACCGAGAGGCCATCCGAGTCTGGGTGGACGGATCGGACGGCATCTGCATCCAGTTTCTTCTGATCTTCTGTGGGGCGGACCTTTCCTGCCTACAGCCATCAGCATCTGTAACATCTCTTAATGAAACGAGGATAATGAGTTACAACATTTACTTTCCCTTTGGGATGAATAAAGTATTTTTAAACAGAGCTGCTCCTTGCAGTTCAGCTCCTTCTTCACCACAGCGGACTGATTATCCCTACATGGCTGTGATTTCTCACATCTAAACAGTATTGCTGTTAAATCTTGTTTTCAGTCATTCCATGCCAGTGATTGATCTTGTTTTGTCTCCACAGCCATCGGTTCACCACCTTCCAGGACTCGAGGTCAGCTCATGTCCACAACGTTGTCCTTGCTGTAACATCCCTTCATTTACACATTTCTTTACTATTTTTAAGCGATTATTTCCACCTTGTCTCACCTACAGGGGGACTTTGTTGGGTCAACCCAAGTACTGGATGAGGTAAAACTACACGGACTGCGTCAGAACTTACATTAGATTGTCACAATATAGTGGTAATAATAATAATAATAGTTGTTCTGTTGATGGTTAAAGACACAAGATGGAAAACCTTAACTTTTGCTCTGAGTTTAATCAACCCAGCATTATAATTTTATAGTTTAAATACGACAGCAGGGTCTGATAATTACTGTTTGTGGTGAGTTCACTTCTCTTTACAATTGTCTGTTTTTCTTCAGTTGTTTCCAGGATTCCTCTCTGAAAACCTGCAGCAGCAATGGGTACAATCTGCTCAAAACATCAAACACATTTGTGCTCGTTTTGTTTCATGTCCACAAAAGCCTCATCGTAGCGCTCATTTTAACATCAAGGGTTGAAGATGTGGTTTGTAACAAACATGTCTGATATGCTGCTGCTAAAGCTTGTACTTAAACAGCAGAGGTTTGTCAGTAAACGTCACGCTTGTGTTTTGTGTCATTTATCCGTTATAATGACTCTTCTCTGATCTATGTTCCTGCTGGCAGCCGGAGGAGTCGGACCTTCCATACCCACCACCTCAGAAAGAGCCCAACGTCTTTATGGTTCCTCAGGGAATCAAACCGGTTCTGCAAAGAAC